CTTTGTATTTATGTTTTTGAAGTTGTATTTTTACCTTTTGTTTAAGAAATATTGTCTAAAAACAAAGTGGTATGTCGGTATCGGTGACCTTCCTCTACCTTTTTAATTATTTTTAATGTTTTCACATTACTATTATTATTTCTATTACACTAAAAAGTAATTTCATAAAAGAAAAAAGGATGTATGAACATGTATGGACATATTTCATATATAATTATATATATTTATAAATATTTATGCGTGTTTATGTATGTTTATACATATTCATGCATGAAAAATTTTTTACCGGGAATATTTTGAATTCAAGGCAAAATATTGGAAAAGTTTGGATATGATTACACACTTACATTTTGCTTTTTATGCTATGCGTTGAGGATGGCATTATTATCTCTAGTGCCAACGCCATGGCACGTACTTTTGATAGAAGTTATTTTGCAAGGACCGTCATTGGCGCTTCTTTATGCAACAATAGTAACGTATGCAAGCATAATATCACCACCTGGTACATCAGCTACTGTTCAAGCAATTGCGACTGGCACGAAGGATGGCCTTGGTACGCTCTGTTATGTAAATAGATATCAAGAATCATTTCACAATAAAAGAAGTTTGGACAAGTAATATAAATCCCAGTACAGATATAAATGTTATCTAACATATACATAAATATACATCGTTTCACATTTGTTATGTAGCAGATTATATTTATGATTTGCTGGAGTGTATCTATAAATTTTTTTATAAATATTTAACGATTTATTATGTATAATGTTGCAATATCTTTAGGATATGCGATTGGTAGTTTCTTAGGTGGCTTCCTATTCAGAAAAATTGGTGGTCGAAGAACTCTAAGAATATATTCAGGACTTGCAACACTTTCTGCATTAGTTTATATTATATCATATACTTTATACATAAAACGTACATCAGGTAAGGAATCAAGTAATTCGATTTGCTAAACTGTAATTTTTTCTGACTATGAAAATATGAAAAACTTCCTTTTTATTACAGATACACGAAATAATGTTGAATGGAAAGAACATGATGATGCGCAAAGAGAATATATTATAGATGAAAAGTGTTTACATGTATCTTCTTACAAACATGTTTCATATGTACCTTCTTAATAAATATAATATATTATGAAAATTTTTATAATTTATATACCTATGTTATGTTATGATATAAGAACTTGATGCAAATCACACATTACAAATACATGAATAATACGAAGATATACATGTTATACATAATAAATATATTAATCTTTACTCAATTCACTATATATGTAGTGAAGGTTATTTAAGATTTATTAAGGATAAACACACACGCACGCACGCACGCATCATTGCTTGATTATGTTTTGTTATATTCGTGAAATATAACATGAAATAACGGGATATAAAGAATAAAAATCTATTTTTCTTGTAAATAGTAAGAAAAAATATTGCTGAAAACATTTTTATCTTATATATTAATAAAAGGGTGAATGGAACATATTTTCAATATATTAAATTAACAGAAGAATAAAAAAAAAAACATTAAATTTAGATCTATTTTAACTAAATTTTTAGTGATAACTTTTTAAACAATTGTATAAACAAATTTTTATTAAAATATGATTTGTATTATATTTTGATACTATTAAACGATAACAATATTAAATTGATATTGCAAATAATCTATTAGATTAAATAATCATCGATAATGATATAGATTTCTAGTCTTTTTATCAATATTATGATAATTATAATATATTATATAAAGAATAATATATAAAACATGTAGAGCACAATTCAAAATAAATTGTGGAAGCTAGATTAGTGGAAATGTCATCACTTCTGGAGAGCATCGTTATCTTATTTTTATCAACGGTACCATTTTAAATGTAAAATTATTTTCAATGTAAAATTATTCTTTGTCAATGTCATCACATATAGCTGTGTAGCTGCAACTTTTAGAATAAAATATAGAGTTGAATTATTAATATTATTATAATAATTTAAAATTATTTGACAATTCTAAACGATAAACGGTAAACTAACAGTATAGGCAAATTATTATTTATATTTTATCAAACTTTATTATAAAAGTTTAACAATTGGAAATATGTCACACTATATATATATGTCCTCAAAGAGTTTACAAGGCCTAAAAGTGCATCATTTACATAATGATTGAGATAACGGTAAATAATATAGGTAATGATATATGTAATTTTAGGTAACGGTCACGTTTTCCTTAATGACGTCTAATAGACCAAAAAAAAGTGATATGTAATATCTAAATAAATATGTGAAATGTAGGCAATTGAGAGCAAATACAGTTAGATTTAGCGTACATATATTTCATAACTCAATGATCAGTTTATAACATTTATTATTAATACGAACGTTTCGACTTCTTTTTAAGTCATCTTCAGCATATCTATCTAGTTTTTAATTAAATTGTTTCATTACTTGGTGGGTTGAGATGATTGACAGTTTCAGTATTGAAAATAACCTCCTTAATCAGCTGTGTGACTGTTAAGATCCAACATACCAAGTATAACATTGTAAGAACGCCATAATGATGATACAAATTTAATAAGATTTATAAAATTTATTTTAGAATATTGCGTTAATTCTTTGCCACAATTCAATTGTTAAATCAAAATTTTGATATCTTTACGTTTATATGTAATATCGTCTCTTTTAACATCATTTTGTTTGGAGTATTGCAGTGTTTAATATATAGAATTGGTAAATTTATGATTTTTTATGACGAATATAACGCCAAGCCAAATTAGTGAGAGAAATGTAATTTTTATGTAATTTTATCGTTATCATTCTTATCTAAGGTTGCAATGTACAAGACGTTGTATTATCGTCAGAATTTTGTAATCTCATCAGATCTTTTTTAGCAATTCACAGTTAGAATTGATTTTATTACAATGTAATTTTTTATAATAATTATTTTTATTGGTATTCTTGTAAGCAATACACTGCAAAGTCAATTGAATCCAAAGTTAATAAAATTAATATCTTATCACTCGTTCCCATACAACACACTTTATCCGAGAAACTCCTAGGAACATTCTTAAAACGTTTAAAAAACATAGGGACGTCCCTTAGAGGTCCGTGCTGTATGGAAACGAATGGTAAAATATTTATCTTATATCAATTTTCCTCGCGATAAGTCAGGGGCGGACGATGGAGGCCATGGGAGCCTTTCTTTTTTCTTAAAAATATTTATAGTAAAATTATATTACTTTTAATATTTCTGAAATGCTTAATCACAATTTTAATATTCCAAAAATATTTTTTAATTTAAGAAATTCCTAGATTCTTACAGCTTAAGACTTACTGCTTTATTGTAGACATCACATTTGATGAAATATTCGTCTTATCAATTTTCCTCGCGATAAATCAAGAGTGGATTCACGATAGGAGCTATGGCTCCCATCTTGGATGTCTTCTTTCTTAAAAATATTTATAGCAAAATGTCATGTTACTTTTAATATTTCTGAAATGCTTAATCACAATTTTGATATTCCAAAAATATTTTTTAATTTAATAAACTCCTAGTATTCTTACGACTTAAGGTTTACTGCTCTATTGTAGACATCGCATTATGCAGCTTTATGCAAAAGTCTATGCTGCTGTTCTTATTTTCCGTTTTCTTTTGTAACGCGTAAAAATAAGGACCAAAAGGTATAGAAACTATAATATGGACATTTTCTTTTTTTTTATTTTTTTAAATATTAATTTTTTAATTTTGTTGATACATGATGTTGGAGAAAATTTGCAACTCAATAACATACAAATCCGCCAATACCCTCCGAAATACCTTGAGAAGTTTCTGAATCCGTCCCTGCGATGAAGTACAACGCGGTAATTGAATGATTTATTAGATTCGTATGCGTGTCGCGTATACATTGGAGCTGTGAGTGTTTTATCAAAATAATGTTTTGCGTAACAATCAGTGTGATCCGGTTTCATGTGAATGCAAGATTAACTTTAATTTCGGCTCCAATATTCTTTATACACATATTCTTTATATTTTTTTAATTCTAAAAGCTATGCCAGAATCTACTGATAATTTTAAAGTGGCTAAAATAAATTAATGTCAACAGCAGTACACTGAGAAAAAAATGTTCATTTAACAAAATTAATTTAGTTTGTCTTTATTTCTTTTATTGGAGAAATGTTTAACTATATAAATATAATATATTTAAATACATACATTCTCCACCGAGAAAGTAATAAAGATAAATTAAATTAATTTAATTTAATAAACAATTTTTCTCAATGGTCAGCATATTCAGCAGCTTTTTAGTTGCACTCGCTACTTTCTCCTCGTGTATCTCCCAGCTTCTCGTTTCTGTTCCGTCGAAACCTGAATGCGCTGCTTATTCTTACGTATCTCGTTTTGTAAGTGTAGAAAGTGTAGTTGCATATCTAAAACTGACACATCAATCCGACACACAAATACAGTTGCGCGTGTTTGTCGTTCCGACATTGAAACCATATCGTTAAGTATACGGCCTATCAAACGATTAAGAGGCTTACTATACAAACGAAACATTGTCGGAGTAAGAACCTGACACCGAATTATAGATAGCCTAAATATACGGTGAGTTAATCGACGGTTTCTCTTGCTCGAGAGAATAAGTGACGAAATCCCATGAAATGAACGGTGAACGAGTGAGAACTTGTCGCGGGTACCTTAATTATTAAAAACCTTTGAACTTGCTTGAAACGTACATTGACTTTTAATACAGCGTGCGGATGATGCTCTCGACGTAGCCATTTTGGAATCGTATAAAGTTCGTATACTTTGAACGTATTTTTGACAAGTAATACTTCGAGATTATCGATATATTGTAGTCGATCGAGATAATTTACATTCAAATGCGTGTATAGCACTGAAGATAGCTTTTATGAGAAAATATTAAATATAATGTTTTATATGAATGTATATTATGATTGTAATATATATATATATATTTGGAAAATATTTTTTGCGTGTTATTTTTAAGTCTGTTATTAAATTTAATGTTATTAATTTGCAGCATGTGGCCAATTTAAACATACGAAAATGCCAAAGCAGTGAAATACGAAATTTGCTGAGGTTATCAATACCTGCCTATATTTATAAAACATAAATCATGAAAATTAATTATATACAATTGCCCATAAAGGCGCATTATTTTTTTTTTATGGCCGGTGAGTAGTCAGAAAATATGTAATATCTCAGATATTTCATATTTTAAAATTTTATTTACTTTTAAGATCCTCTTTTATTTTTTATACGATACATTTTATGAAAAATATATAAACATAAAAATAATTGTAACATACTGTCATTAAAAGTGATAAAAATATACTTTAATTTAAAAAGTGATAAAAACGTACTTGGTTTATATTTAAGAAAACAATTATATAAGTGTACTCTCTAGAAACAATGTATCCTTATCACGTAAAAAACTATAGTTACATATTACATATATATTACTATACGAAAGTATTAGAAAATAGGTTGTTAACAATTTATAATAAAAAATATATATTATTACACAGTGAAAAACATTTTGTATTTTTGTTTAAAAATACCACTTAAAACTTTGTTAAATTTTTCTGTTGAATTTTTAACATATTCAAGTTTTAATTTTACGTAATGTAATTATGTTATTTATACCTATATTTCTAGTTAAACTGATATTCAACATTTCTTGAGTATCAAAATAATACAATTGTATAAGTGAACAAATAATAGAAAATTAATATATTTTTAAATGCAAAAATTTTAAGATAAATAAATAAAATACATGTCAATTTAACATAAATGTTAATTTTAGTAAAAAAATATGTTTTCATAATGTGCTTACAAATTGTGCCAGTGTTACATTTTTCGTGTTATATTTTTTATATAATATGTGTGATACTTTCTAACATATTCATCTTGTGCTAAATTAACACAAAAATTTGAGTGAATCTTTTGATATACGTATATTTTTAACCCAAATTTTCTAACTGTGTAAGTGTAATTCATAAATGTCATTACAATTATTACTTTTATTTTAGCTATGGGTCCTATTTTGCCATTTCTGCCAGTTTACGGCAAGCAACTCGGAGTTTCACCATTAATTATGGGTAGCATCACAGCAATTTTACCTATTTTATTTCTTATCGCGAAACCAACATTTGGCTTCATCATGGACTATTTCCGCACTAAAAGAAAATTAATATTTATAGCGCTACTTGCTGTAACAAGTAGTTGCTATATTTTGATGTACTTTTTACCGGTTGTGCCCGGTCCATTCTTACTAGGTCATCAGTTTCAAAATGTTTCCTGTGCATCTTTATCGCCTTGCAATATGGACTATGTAATTTTTAATTTTTTGCACATTTTTCGAATAATAATATTTCTAAAACAATTGTTTAAAAACTAATTTTTACGAGAATTTGTGAGTTAGTACTTATTATTAAGTGTACAACTTTGCTTATGCCGTTTTCCTATAGATGGCTTTAGCGATAAGTGATGGTCGAAATAAATAGATCATAGACGTCATACAACAAACTTGGGCATTTGTCAACATAATCCCACAGAAACATTAGTCAATTTGTGTCTGCATACTTATGGTGAGACCGCTATTAGTGAAAGAACGTGTCATGAGTGGTTTCAACGCTTCAAAAACGGTGATTTTGACGTCGAAGACCGGCATAGCGTCTTCATGGAAGAGAAAAGGTTTTCGAAGATGCAGAATTGGAGGCATTATTTGATCAAGACTCGTGTCAAAGAATCAAGAAAAATTGGCACGATCATTGGGAGTGACTCAACAAGCCATTTCAAAACGCCTCAAAGTCATGGGAATGATTCAGAAGCAAGGAAATTGGGTGCCATACTAGTTGAAGCTGAGAGATATTGAACGGCGTTTGTTTGCTTGTGAACAGCTGCTTGAAAGGCAAAGACGGAAGGGATTTCTGCATCCCATTGTGACTGGGAACGAAAAATGGGTTCATTACGATAACCCCAAGTGCAGAAAATCATGGGGAGTTCCCGGCCATGCTTCCACGTCGACGGGCAAACCGCATATTCACGGCTCCAAGGTCATGCTCTGTATTGTGGGACCAGCTCGACGTAGTGTATTATGAGCTGTTAAAACCGACTGAAACAGGCGATTGGTATCGAACGCAATTGATGCGTTTGAGCTAAGCATTGAAAGACAAACGGCCGCAATATAACGAGAGACACGATAAAGTGATTTTGCAGCATGACAATGCTCGATCCGATGTTGTGAAAGTGGTCAAGACATACTTGGAAACGTTGAAATGGGAAGTCCTACCCCACCCGCCGTATTCTCCAGACGTTGCTCCCTCTGACTATAACTTGTTTCGATCAATGGCACACGGCCAGGCTGACCAGCACTTCCGGTCTTATGAAAAAGTAAAAAATTGGATCGATTCGTGGATCGCCTGAAAAGCTGACCTGTTTTTTCGACGCAGGATTCGTACGCTGCCCGAAAGATGGGAGAAAATAGTGACCAGCGATGGACAATGCTTTGAATCATAAATGTATAACCAGTTTTTTACAATAAAGCCTCGAATTTCGAAAAAAAACGGCGGAAGCAAAGTTGTACACCTAATAAATCTTTAAAAATATTTGTATATTAATGTGCTTTCATATATAAGCAATATATTTAAAAATTTTTTTGTTTTTTTTTTCTTTTAAGCATGCAGTGGAATCATGTAACAGTACGAAAGACACTACATGTCATTGGATATGCAAGGATGTGAATTTTTCTACAAGATTGTCTTTTCATGCAATTAAAAAGCAAACAGTTATTTCACCGAATACAACATGTTTATTAAATATTAATGAGACATCATCGTGTCAAGAAAATATAATAAAGAATTATAATTGTAATGTTACTTGCGATAATTTTGAAGATAGTCATTGTTTATATGCATCCATTACTTTTTGGGGATTCGTACTCTTAATGTCTCTTGGTAATATAGGATTTAATGTTTCTAATAGTTTAAGCGATGCAATTTGCTTTGACGTATTGGGTAAGTGATTTATAAAATTATATTTTAGTGCTATGTAGAATATAAAAATGCCCACGTAGATATAATATAACTTCAATTTTTTATGATGTACAGTTTAATATTTGTACATTAATTTAAATTTTAATATTAACTCAATTTTATGTAATAATTTAAGTAAAAAAGAAACATTTTTCTCAATATCTCTTTTCAGGTGAAGGTGGACAAATGGGATATGGTAGACAGCGAGTATGGGGCACAATCGGTTTCGGTATAGCAGCATTTGTGGCTGGTTACACAGTAGACTTGTGGTCTCAAGAAGAAACCTACAAAACTTATACACCGGCGTTTCTTCTTGTATTCGTATTTACTTCTATCGATTTGATCTGTTGCAGAAAGTTGGAGGTAATTATATTAAAAATTAAGAAGAAAGAAATTTTTTTAAAATGGACATAATATATGTAATAGACAGTTTTCTTCTTAATATTTTCATCTTACATTGTATATTCTAATTACAGCTGCCGCTTATGTCAAGGTCACCAAATATACTGAAAGATATATGGACTCTTTTGAAATTGAAACCTATTGTTATATTTCTATGTTTTACTATCTTTGCGGGTATCTTTGATAGTTTTATAATTTACTTTTTGTTCTGGTAAATCTTTGTTTCCATTAACATGCATTCTCTTTTATATTTATTTATCGTAGAATTTCGAAATTTAATTAAATCAAATTATATTCAGTACAATTTATTGTGTTTAGGTATTTGGAAGATCTTGCCATAGCGACTGGTTATATGAGTGAAATTAAATTGATAGAAGGTCTAATCGTAGCCGCAGAAACTCTCGGTGGCGAGATAATATTCTTCTCTTTGTCCGGTAAATTATTTCTGTCATCAGTTCGTGATATATAAAGCATTCGCGTAAATAAAGATATCGTTGTACCTAATATAATGTTGAATCTTCTTTTTTAGGTAAAATACTGAAGAAGTTTGGATACGGTTACACTTTTACATTTTGTTTTGTATGCTATGCATTACGGCTGGGATTAATATCTCTTGCTCCAACGCCATGGTGGGTACTTCCCGTGGAATTTTTTATGCAGGGCCCATCATATGCACTTTGTTATACAACAATAGTAGCATATGCGAGTGCAATATCACCACCCGGCACATCAGCTACTGTTCAAGGGATTGTAGCAGGGATGGATGACGGTTTAGGTGAATTAATTTCCTTTTCCGGTTTTTAAGAATCATTTTGTAATAGAAAAATCACACAAATAATATAAACGTAAATTTTTTCACAATCAAAGTTCATTATCGTTGAAGTATTACAATATTTTCAGGTTACGCACTTGGCAGTTTGATTGGAGGTATTTTATATAAAAAATTTGGTGGTCCAATAACTTTTAAAATATTTTCAATACTTGCAGTATTTTCTGCATTTATGTATTTCATTCTTTATACTTCGTACTTAAAGTGTAAAACATCAGGTAAGGGATTACATTAATTTCAACTGCAAAATATGAAAATTTTTTCAGAATATTATAAAGAAGGAATTTCTTTTTTTTATTTTAGACACACAAAATAATGTTGAATGGAGGAAACCTGACGATGCACAGAGACACTGTGTTGTAGCAGAATGATGCCCATTGTATATATTTATATATATAAATAATAATAAAATAATAATAAAAGTTATAAATAATAATAAAATCTAATATTTTAATTTTATATCTATATATTATATATATGTATAATATACATAT